TCTGCCACTCCCTTTCAGAGACATCCTGCAGCATGGGATGTCTAGTGCTTGGGCTGCATGTGTCTTGGTTTTCATGTGCAAAATGTTGGGAAGTATGAGACTCTGTGTCATAGTGGTTTGAGCGCTGGACTATGACTCTGGACAGAAGGGGTCAAATCCCGGCTCAACCGTGGAAACACACTGGGTGATCTTGGGCAAGTCACACTCTCTCAACCTCAGAGAATGGCTCCTAGGATGAAACCTGCCAAGAAAACCAAGGATAGGATTGCTTTAGGATCACCATAAGTTGGAAATGTCTTGGAGGCACACAACACACACAGAGACAGACACACACACACACAAGACTCCACTGAGTGTCCTTTTTTCTAGGGAGGAATTGCCTCTTCTGGGTTGCCTCTCCAGTAGTCGCCCATCCCCAGATCTTGACCATACTCTGATGTTACTTGGGCCCATAAGTACCAGTTATGGAGGGTTTGGAGAGAGGTCAAGTCTCCTTTGTTGGAGGTTTTTAAGCAGAGGATGGATGGATGGCCATTTGTTATGGATGCTTTGATTGTGAGTTCTTGCATGGCAGGGGTTGGATTGGATGACCCCTTAGGGTCCCTTCCAACTCTAGGATTCTCTGGTTCTGTGAATGGACTGCCTTGGAAGGTGGCTGAACTGGGCTTCGAATCCTTGGCTGAACTAGGATTCAAATCCTGGTCTCCAGCAATCAATGCTACGCCACGCTGGCTCCAAAGAAGAGTCTCCTTCTTTGGGGTTTTTAAAACTGAGGCTGGATGGCCACCCGTCGGGGATGCTTTGATTGTGTCTTCCTGCATGGCAGAAGGGGGTTGAACTAGATAGCCTTTGGGATCCCTTCCAACTCTTTGAGTCTATGCATGGTTGTTTCTCTTGCACTGCCAAAGGCAAACAGTGCCTCTGAGCATGTCCAGAAAGCTTCCAGGTTGAGCATGCAGACACACCTCTGGGGTTAAAGGAGGCATCCGAGGCACTGCCTCTCTTGTGCAACCTGCTTTTGGCTTGATGACCAAAGAGAGGCACCTTCAGAGGTAACCCGCAGAGCTGCAGTGCAATTCAAATGACAAAAACATTTGGCAACAGGACAGGACGGAGGGTTGTTCAGCTTCTATTTTTGGGCTTTCCTTGTTGCGTTTCACCTGTCTGGAATTGTGCTCGACTACCTGTCGCAATCCTGAGCTTGCGATAAGACAGGCCTCGGGATCTTTTCTCCATTTCACATACTGTAAAACTAAAAATCCCCTCCTGCTTTGGAGGAAAGGCTTTCTAGCATTTCAGCAAGCTGGCATCTAATGAGCGCACCCTCAATATTTAACACATTTTTTAAAAAAGAAAAAAATCATTCCCCTTTTAATCTTATTATCACCAATCAACTCAAACCTCACCATTTCATTAATTAAATCAAATCCATGAATTGATGGAGTTGATTGACATTTTCAGGTAGATAACCAAAACCCTGTTCACAACCTTCACGTCAAATCAGATCAGCCAATTAATGTTACCTTCTTTCCAAATCCAGTAATCAATACATTAACTCTAATATTAGTCCTGAATATTTAGTTGTATGCTTCTCTGGAGATTATCCAAATCAAGCCCCAGTTTGCATCTGCTTCTTTTATTTTATTATCTTCCTTTCCCCTCATTAATCCTTTAACTTTGGGGGTTCTTATAGCTGTCTGTCTAGTTTTCCTCAAGTCAGTTTGCAGTTTGGAAGTAAGCTGAGGACAAAGGTGGAGAAGGAGACAGAAACTGGGACATTTGAAAAGCTGCTGAAAAAACTGGAAGGTAGATTAATTGGGACTGCCTCTCAAATTGGGACAGTTGGAGGGTGACTACTTTTGCACTTTGAACTCTGTTTGCAGCAGTGGAAGTTAAGCTGAAGACAAAGGGGGAAAGGTGGGAGGACGAGAGAGAAACTGGGACATTTTAAAAGCCACTGAAAAAGTGAGATGGCTGATGATTAATTGGAACTGTCCCAGCCAAACTGGGACAAATGAAGGCCATGCTTCCCACTTTTTCGACTACTTGTACACTTTGAGCTGAGTTTGCAGCCATGGAAGTAAACTAATGGGGAAAGTGGGAGGAGATGCATGAAACCGGGACATTTTAAAGAACATTTTAAAGTGGGATGGCAGAGGTTTATTAATCAGTAATGCCCATGCCAGATCAAGATGTTTGGAGGGTATGCATGTGCCTTTTACAATGTCTTTACAGGTAGCGATAGCACAATAATTCTATCTTCTTGCTCTTTTAATTTCCAATTAATTTCCTTCCCCGTTTCTATCAGTTCCTGGGTTACAGGAGAGGAATCGGCCTACATACAAAAACAGGCATTTGCATCATCCTGCCAGCTCATCCTCCCCTGGCTCAGCAAAAGCAGGCTTTGCAAACAGGAGGGTGCCCCAGTATCATTCCTTTAAGGCTCATTTGCAGTTCCTTGGAAAGGGCAAAGCATCCAGGTTAGCTAGTCTGTTGGAGTGGCACAGGGAAGGGAGTTTGCCCAGGGCTTTTCTCATCAGGGCAAAATGGTCCCTGCCCCAAGGAGCAATGCCAAAATGGACCTTGGTGGGGGAACTCACATTCTAGCAAAAAAACAATATATGCATAAGGACGCAATGGTTTTTCCCCCTGTGTACAAAAGAAACATAGAGTTGGAAGGGACCCTAAAGGTCATCAAATCCAACCCCATTCTGCCATGCAGGAAGGTACAATCAAAGCACCCCTGACAGATGGAGTTTTATTTTATTTTTTAATGCATAGGAAACCAGCAGGAAAAAGAGACCCAAGTGAGCCAAATGTAGTTTCAGTGGTC